CCTTCGCCCCACTGCTCACCGCCCCTAGCCTTGCCGATTCACAGACGTGGAGGAAGAAGAAAGAGAGAGGAGTGAGGGGTGAAGGAGATATATGATAGGTGGGTCCCACCAATTTGTTTTTGAAGAAAATGCTGACAGGACTACCACGTTTGACCAAAACCACTTCGAGTTGAGTCAGCGAGTAATTTGTCCGGTATTAATAGTTGAAGTTGAAAGATGTCTAGCTTTCGAGTTTATGGTGGTAATTCGGCCGACCATAATAGTTTAGGGTGTAATTCGTCTTTTTTACTTTAAATATTATCATAACATTATTTATTATATGTTGGCCTCATGTGACTGGATCACAAATTAGATATATAATTTTCAAATAATTTAAAGGTAGGACATTTTTTTATCGTAAAAGATCTAGTTTAACTATGTATAATTTGCGTAAGTTTTTAGAGTATTTTATTTTATTTTTAAATAGTAGAAAATCCTATATTATGGACTATCAATTTTTTTAATGGCACTACGTACTTATGTTACGTAAGTTTTCTTTATTTTATTTATCCGTTCTTATCGTAAGTGCGTATGCAGGTTTTCTTTTCTTCCGTGAACCGTAGGTAAGTTTCACTGATTCTTTTCCAGTTACCTAAGTACGTCCACGAAATACATGTGTTTGTTTTCTTTTTTCGGCCCACAGTATACACAAGACAATTATTACTTTTTTAAATACTATATCTAATCTAACTATCTAAACCATCGAAACATCAGATCCATCAAATTAAGAGAAAATCGATAGTAATATTAAACAGTGTCATGTAATGGTCTAGGAAAACCATTAGCCCAATAGGAATATGTGAGAAGGGGGACGGAGGGAAGATGTGTGCAGGCATGTACGTACGTGACTGTGGGTTACGTACATAGGGACGTAGGGGGAGAGGTGGAGGTAGATGGGGTTTGTTTTTTCTTTTAAGGATTGATCTGATGGCTGAAAATTAAAAATAAGGATGGGTCCACTAAATTAAATGAAAATCGACGGTTAGATGTTTTATTTGTCACGTAGCATCCCAGGAGCATTTGTAGGGGTGCCACGTAGCGTCTTGAGAGCGTTTGTAGGAAGTTTAATAGACGTTTAGTATATAATAGAAGATAGATAGATAGATAGATAGATTTGTGCGGTTAAAGATGCGTTATCTTTTCAATATTCCTCTCTTTACGATCCGATCAAAACTCCCAATCCGTTCCACATGCTGTGCACTTCCTGGTACCACCGCCGGCTGCTCCTCCCGCCGGCTGCATAAGTTGATGTTTGGCCTCCAGAGTGTGCCGTCCATGACCTCGAGCTAACCGCGGCTGCCGCTGATGTCGAGTGCACCTGCCGGCTTTGCATAGACGTGCTTGCTGCCTTGATATTCTTAATTAAATGCCCAGCGATTAACCACAAAAGATCTTGTTCGATCAAGCTAGCAATTAGGAACATCAATTTCGCAGGAAATCAATGGCTCCAAAATTTTCAAGTCCATTCAACAGCTTTGAGCCGATCAATGCCTCACAAAAATGAAACAATGCTTCAGCATTCAGGAACCATCGGCAGCAGCCAGCATCCAGCCGTCGGTCGCAGCCATTGTACATGCCAGCCGGTCGCCGCTGCCAAACGCCACCGTACGTGCCTGCCGATCATAGCCACCTTGCGCGCTGCCCCTGCTCCTGGTCCGTTCTTTCACTTGGGATTTAAAGTTAGGGTTAGACATAGAGAGATTGAGGTCACGCCAATATCGTGCGAAAAAACAATCTCATCGACTTGACAACGTCAGCCAGCGGATGGGGAATGAACAATTACTAATTAAGCTACCTTTGTTAATATTATTTTATATTCCTAAATTACCCTTTAGGAATCAATGGTGGATATTAATTGGTTTAGGAGGTACTTGGGGTACCTCTCAAGCACCGTAAAAGATCTCAATATTGTATGGGGTCCAATAGAACAGAAGTTTTGGAAATTTAGTTTTGGAATTTTGAACCCTGCTTCCTCTACCTCTTCAAGTACTGGAAAATTTAGATCGATGATCATGTTGTGATGATTGGCGATGGCAGATGTGTTTCGTGATTGCCTCGTGATAGAAAATGTGTTGTTGATCTAAATGCGATGGTAAATTTGCCTTGTTATGGCAGATGAAGTAATGTTTTTTTTTCCTCTTCTTTTCAGCAGCAGAGCGGTATATATAGCCTGCCAGTGCTTCATTTTTTTTTCTGCTAATTCAAAATCGAACTGGAGGTAAAAAATTTGGGCTAATGAAAAATTTGGAATTATGGATGCAAGTTCATTCCAGCCGATTTGATTGCTTCGGCTTCTGCTTATAGCGCAGGGAGCAAGCGATCGTGCGCGGCGCGCTGGATAGGGACAGTTAATGAACGGCATTTTAATCTTTTTTATCTCATTCCTTAGTTGTCTTGTGAAGTCTGTGAATTGAAATAATTGAGAAAATCCCTTCTATATCCTTGAAATTTTAGTTAATCCCTTCTATGCACATGAATTTTGCTTACTTCTTTATATACCCCAAAATTTGATTTTTGATCCCTTCCATACCTCTTCCGTCAGTTGACCGTTAATTGGCCATCTAATTTCTATAAAAATGACCATTTTACTCTTTGGATGAACATAGAAATTCGTGAATTATATTATTAAAAATGTAAAAGTTTGTCGCATAAGAGTATTATAGTTATGAGTTTGTTGTGCGATGCATTATTTATCACAAAATTTATTTTTAGATAAATAAATAAATAATATGTATTTATTTTTCAAAAGAAAGTCATAAAAATGAGGAGCACTCGTACAAAGATAGGACTACCAATGCTCACAATAATTTTTTTATGAATGCTCCCGATCAAAAAATCCGTTGTCCTATTATTTTTTTTTAAAAAAATAATTTATTACATTTGTTTTATTTTCAAAATTTATGTCAAAATTTTCTACACTAATTATTTAGTCTCATTTAGTTTCATAAAATACACATATTGTGCACTCAAGCAAAATTTTAAATCATTTTTCAAGCATATATTCAAACCTAAAGCATCAAGGACAAAAAAGACATTTGCAACCAAACGTAACAGTGAAATGAAGGAAAATATAAAGGTAGGGGTATGGAAGGAATTGAGTGAGTTTTCAGGGGTACACAGGGAATTTACTCGAAATAATTTGGTAACTGTTGACGATCGTTATCGATCAGTTTCGACCGTCAATATTACTAAAATAAAGGAGAACTAGTGATGCTTGCAATGCATATATCTGTTAGAATAATAATATTCCACTAGTATTAGGTATACTAACCTTTTGCAGAGAATGACAATAAAGTGGAGGAGAATCGACGTCAACTCAGACGATAAATCAATCGGACGATGTAGAGAACCAGACTTATGTATGAATGGGCTTAGAACTCAGAAATAACACGACACATTGGGCCAAAATTCACAACTCTACGGAGGAGGACAACAAAGCAGGCCGCCAGCCGAAGATGGGCTGGGTTGGGCCAGCCCATAGTTCGGCCGAACCTCCCGTGGCGCCGATGGATGCAGGGTTTGGATGGACGGCTGGGATTGATCCCTAATGACGGTTGGAGGGTATTACCGACCATTCCAACCGTCACAACCGTCATTACCTGCCTATTTAAAGAGTTCACTCTATTCACTTCAACACACACCTCAAGCAATAGCTCTCTCATTTCTCTCAAGTTTAGTTTAGTAGTATCTAGCTGGTGGAATAGGAATAGAGTAGAAATCAGGAGTCCGGAAGCCTTCGGAAGTGTTCGGGTATGGCTCTAGTAGCTTTGCTCTTCTCTTTTATAAGCTTTATACTTTTATTAGAATACTCTTCTATATACATTTATGGTATTGAAATACTTTCCGAGTATATAAATGCCTACTTTACATTTACATTATGTTCATGTTATACTGAATATACGGCTAGCTTATCTGAGATATGCTTTGGTGCGGGTATAATGTTTGCATATGCAATTACTCTATGTCATGACGATGATATTAGAATAGTATCTGGTAGTTTAGACGTGGTGTGTAGATTATGGGATATCATTATTTGGGGTTATATATTGCGGATGAGAGGTGGGCCGCTGATGGTGACAGCTCAGTACAAGTATTCCTTCATGCCGATATATAATCCTAAGTTAATTCCTTGGGAAGGGTATTCCTCCGTATTTAGCCCTGGTTGTATGGTCATGACGGGTTATCGTAAGGAACTCGGCAGTTAGGGGTGGCTTCTCGAAGTACTAGGAGTGCATCGGATAGAGGGTATTAGCTAGTATTTTGGTTAACTAGAATATATGTATACTATGTATATTAGAAGTATATGAATAGATTTTCTTTCCACTTAGCTTAGATAATATATTATGAGAATAAGTAGCTAATGCTTATGTGTTACTCTACCATTGGATTATTTAAGCCCTGCTTAGAATATGATTATCACAAGTAATATATAAATTATTAGTCAAGTTCTCTCTACATGATCTTCCCACGGGATAAAATAAATATGATACCTTGGGAATACTCTCGGGTGAAATGCTACAATGGTATATCCGTGCGCTTGCGGATGAACTCTGTAACCATAATATACCAGAAGTATTTCTGCGTCATTGTTGGAAATTATATTTCTAGTAATATCGTTAAGAAATACCAACAGTAACAAAACCTATCAAAAGTACAATTTATGTCACATTGCCTAGTAGAAATGAGGTGTGGTGTTTGAGAGAAATGGTAAAATCGCCATAAATGCATTTACACATTTCTTTAAAACTTGTATACACTTCACTTGTTTTATTTGGATATAAGGTTGAACAGGCTTATTTTACGAGCACATATATATCTACTTAAATCTCATCGGATCCACACAAACTCGGATTACTTATCTTTAAAAAGCGAGGGGATTAATTCAAATCCCCTCATGTATTATTCCAAAAACGCTTACTACCGAACGTCCGATACGTGGAGAAATCCTGGATGGGCCCACAGTCAAGTCGAAACCCATCCGTTCCCAACCTTATCCTCATTCCTCCTCATCCAGTCATCCCCAACCTCTCGCATCGGCTTCTTCGTGCAGTGCGGCCACAGCGTCATCAGGCAGCGGCGCCGCCACCGTAGACGGCGGGGTCTACCGTTGCGGGCGGCCGTATTTGGCCGTTCAGCCAACACCGCGAGAAAACAGTCGATGCCGGTTAGGCCTTGACCTCGCTGGTGGCAACGGCACCACGACAAGGTACAACCGTTGTCAAAGAGGATCCGAGCTCGGCGGCGGCGACACGGCGGCGGCGATGGCGGTGGCGGCGTCAACGTCACAAGGAGATACGCCTAGCGACGGTTAGGGCCCTGAGCTTGCCGGCGGCGGTGGCACTGCGAGGGAGCGGACTAAAACTTGAGGCGCCGTTGATGGAGATGGCCCTGCGCTCGCCGACGAAGGTGAGGATGGTGGGAGCATCGAGCTAGCAAGGATGTTCCATGCTAGTTTCTTTATGTTGCACACAAGTGTTTCTTGATGTTCCATTTGGTATTTCTCTATGTTGCAATTCATATTTCTGGATGTTGCATTTGGTACTTGATGTTGCAGTTGATTTCTTTGGGTGTTGCATATGTTTTTGCTCTTGAAGTCTGTGTTTTTAGTGTTTGCATCCGACTGAAACATTTTCGGTAAAATAATGAAAAATTCTTCCATGAAGAATGGCACATCAAAGAAACAACTCACAATGAAACATTTTTTCTGGTGCAGTGAAAAATTGCAACAACTTATGGTCAAACATTGCAACATCTCTTTAACACGTAATAGAACATTGCAACATCTCTTTAATATGTAGTGGAACACCGTCCGGAGATTTGTAAAACTCCGGACGTCCGATATGTAGTCGTCACCATATTATTCGGAAACTCGTGATCTGCCATGAATAGTTTCTGACAAGATTGTCAGCACGAATTATACGCAGCCGCTTGCTGCCCGCACCCCACCAATTAGGGTTAGATTTCCAGTGTGGAGGTGTTGGGCTTTTATGTGGCATTCACCATTTATTTATGGTTTATATTTGTTAATTACCTCGATGTGGGAATATTCGCTGATGTGGAATTTTAGTCGAGGAATTAGTACTACTTAAGGTGTCGAAAACGTCTGTGTGAGAAAATAGTAGAAGGAATTAATTTAACATATATTCTATTGGAATTGCATATGTACATATGTGATTTCGTCATGGTACAGCACATGGTGGATTAGCTGGATAAGTTTATAGGATCGACTCTAAAAGCTATTGACCCATGCATATATATATATAATCATATTGCAATAATATATTCTCATATACGATATGATCTATAGCTAGCACATGTCACATATGTTTGATAGATACTACTCCCTCTTCTCAAATTGATCATCATATAAGTTTATATACCAATACCAAGGACAATTTAAATCGCATCAATCAAGATACCATGTACACATTCTCTCACAATGCATCTATCAATTAAAACTCCATACCAATTACACAGTAGCATGCACACATTCTCTCATACCGCATTAATTGTATTCTGAGGAAATCCGTGTCCATACAGTTATATGATAATCAATTTAGAAAGGAGAGACTATTGTATTGTAGACTCGTAAAACTGACAAGTATTACTGACATGATTCAAGATTCTGACAGTGTACAGAAAATAGATAATGCACATACTCCCTCCGGCCCAAAAAAAAGACAAACTCTGGTTTTCGTGTCCAACGTTTAACCATTCGTCTTATTTGAAAAAATTATGAAAAAAAAATTACATATAAGACGGACAGTTAAAGTTGGACACGGAAACCCAGGGTTTGCCTTTTTTTTTTGGACGGAGGGAGAATTTGGGAGTTGAATAAATAAATTGGTCCCTAACCCTAAGCTCATCATGTATTATGGTATAGCTAGCATCATAAAAAAGATTATGGTATAGCTAGCATCATAAAAAAGACAAATGCATATAATGTGGACCAAATGTTTGACCAAATGTTCTTTATTAAATTAAACTACAGTCAAAAGCTCAACAGTGAATGGAGTGGGACCGGGACGAGGACGTGGGCGGAGATGGTTGGCCTTAGAGGGATGGTTGAAGCTAGCCTTGGTTTGGTTGAGCGGGGTTAGCGTGGTGGCGGGGTAAGCAATAGGGATAGAGGGGAGCAGCGTGGCAAGGCTGCGGGAGGAGAAAATAACTCACCTAGTTGCTGGGCCAAGCTTGCCGGAGGGAAGGCAGATATGGGGCTCACTTGCGTCGAGTTTGTTGGCATTTTGTCACAGATGAGAAATTAAGAAGTTGGTGAAGAGAGAGGAAGGCCGCTAATATGGGGGCGGTGGAAGAGGCTTGGCGGGGGTGCTCCTCGCATCGGATACATCACCGTCTCGATTAAGTCGCAACTGGAGGACAACGGGAAGAGGATAATGTGGATCGGGTGCAAGCTAATTGGTTTGCTCGGATTAGCTCGTGTACTATATCATAGGTGCCACAAGAGAAATCTTCCCTGCACACGTCAAACAAGCTATGTGGCCATTATAATAGTAATTAAAGTGCTACCATGTTTCATAATTGGTGCTTAAATTGTCTATAATGCTTAGATGGCTAAATAAGAAAAGGCTACCATACGAATGTGTATAGTCGCTAATGCTTAAATGGCTAGATGAGAAAAGGCTCCTTTGTGTTTTTCGATTAGCATCAGTGATAACGTGGTTTATATTTTGGGAGTAGCTATACAACATTCAGACAGCTTTTTGGATGAAAAACTTTCAGATGTAACATTGTAGTGTAGTTACATTGTAACTACTATGCAACTGTGATATAATTGATAGTAACTTGGGTGTAACAGTCAAAAAAAAAAAAGTGCGATGGATCAACTGGTTATAGTCGAACTGGCGTGTGAACCACAGGTCTCGGGTTTGATCCTTGTTGTGTGTATCTCATTTTTTTTTTCAATTTTAACTCCACCAGCACGAATCTCAAAGCATATCGGATGGTTTAAAATTCGAAAGTTTTCACCCCTGTTAACTGTTGACAGTAGGGTAACAAATCCGTATATTTTTAGCACGTTTCTCTCCAAAACATATTTGTAACGTGCATAGGTACATACAAGTGAGGCGGTGCCCTTGCAATACGCGAGACTTTCACGCGCACATGTTTTTTTACCTACTTTCTTCCTGCAGGGTCAGTTTAGGCCCGAAACAAAGTTTATCAAATACTTTTCTCATCTTTAAAATTTGTTTTTAAATTCATTTCAAATTCATTTACAAAAGTTTCTATATCAAATGTTCATACGTGGAAAGTGAGTACTTATGAAGTTTATACTTATAAATTTGGTTTGTATGTGTTGGGCCACAATCAAGTACGTAGGTGAGTTAGAATCGCGATGAATGCAATAGAAAAGAAATGTTGAAATAGACTTTAGGAGCCAAATAGGCTTGGAACGCTTTGATGCACATGGGTTATACTTTTACGGGCGCGCATTAGCCACTCTTGTCTTGGGCCCTTTTTTTATTCGGGCTTGTTTCCCTCGTGCACATGGGCTTAGAAAGTAAGAGCCATATATCGACACCAATCGCGGGGCGACACGTGTACATTAGAGCCACCCATTAACCAGATTGCTATATGTGTGCCCTTACAAGTCTACGATGATTTAAGCCTTCTAGCAAAAGTCCAGATGTTTTTGATCCACCATAGATTTAAAAATTATATATTAAATTATAGTGATTTAAAATTTTAAATTTTATCCAAAGTAGAACAAAATGATGTATCTAAATGTTGTCGACCTAAATGTGAATCTAAATCCATATATTTGTGGAGCTCTAAAAGATATAGATCCGGAGTAGTTATATTTAGATTAGATTTTTTTTGCGGGGATATTTAGATTAGATTTGACACTAGTATTTCACCAAACCTCAGAATTAAGCATGCATACATAGGTGTTCAGGGGTATACAAATGACAACGATATTCTTTCTTTGTCTATAATTAATTTCTAAGAATTTCTTTGCAAAAAAGAAAAACAATTCCAAGAAGTTGTAAAAATCAAACATACACGAGTGTGTCGCTGTATGGTGAGTTGGTGAAATGAATGCAGCGTGTCGAAGAATTGTACACTGTAATCTCCAATAAAAGTTCAGATGTACAGAAAGGAGACTTTGTTCCAAGTCAAAATCGTACGTAGGTTTTGGGCCATACTGAGCTCATAGGTCCTTGTACTGTCCCAACGACTCCAATGGAAATTCTTGCTTTATAATGACCAGTGTATCAACAGCCCAGATGCGTCTGTGCTCTGCTGGCCTGGCCAGTACATCCAAACGGCCCAGAGAGAAATGTCGTACTAATCGTGGTTGTGAAGTACTCCCTCCGTTTATGATTATAAGATGTTTTGCTTCAAGTTTGATCATGTTTATAGAAAAAATAATAATATTATTGATCTAAGATAAATTTATTATAAAAATATATTTAATTATTAATTTAATAAAAACTAATTTGGTAATGTAAATATTACTATATTTGTGTATAAACTTAGTGAAGTTTGACTTTGACCAAAGTCAAAACATCTTGTAACATAAAACAAAGGGAGTACTACTTGCTCAAAGCCCTTTTTTTTTGTTGTAGAGAATGTTCTAATGACTCAAAATTTCCTTCTAAAAGAACACATGGTCAACAGGCTTACAGTATGGATAATTTATGAAAATAACAAAGTTACAACTAAAAACGTAGCTAGGCACATCTGGATAAATATGAGTGCAAGGAATTTAAACCATAGCAGAGAAAGGGGGAGGCTAATGGGCGATCGATCGCCAGGGCGATTGCCCAGCGATCGGTTGGCCCCGCCTCCCCCTATACTCCTCCCTCTTCTCCCCTTCCTCCTCCCCTTCTTCTCTTTCTACTACAGGGTACACCACACAATTTTTTTTAAAAAAATAAAAGTTAGAAAAATTTATGTATAGAAATACTATATATAAAAAAATTTTGAATCGGGTATGTAAACTTTTGACTTGTAAACTTTGGGTCTATAAACTTTAGGTGTATAAACTTTAGATGTATAGAAATACTTTATATAGAAAATATTTGAATTCAAATTCAAATTTGAATCGGATATAATTCAAATTCAAATTTGAATCGGGTATGTAAACTTTTGACTTATAAACTTTGGATCTATAAACTTTAGGTGTATAAACTTTAAATGTATAGAAATACTATATATAGAAAATATTTGAATTCAAATTCAAATTTGAATCAGCTATAATTCAAATTCAAATTTGAAACGGGTATATAAACTTTTGACTTATAAACTATAGATCTATAAACTTTAGGTATATAAACTTTAGGTCTATAAACTTTAGATGTATAGAAATGCTATATATAAAAAAATATTTGAATTCAAATTCAAATTTGAATTGGATATATAAACTTTTGACTTATAAACTTTTGGTCTCTAAACTTTAGATGTGTAAACTTGAGGTGTATAAACTTTAGGTGTATAAATTTACTAAAATAGAAAAGTAATGCGGTGCCAAAACGGAAACTAGGTGGAGGGAGGGAGGGGGGAGGGGATCGATCGCTGATCCATCCTGTTTGGCGATCGATCGCCAAACAGGATTTCCGGCAGAGAAAGCCATACAACCGAAGCTATGCCAAGGTATACTTGACTTCCCCTTTAAGAACAGCATGTTATACTGGCTTTTCACCTACTAATTAATATCCACAACATTGTTTCTTGCAGTTCAATAGTTATACACTGTAGGAACTAGGACAATAATAGTTTGGTCCATCTTTTATTACTTAAATTTTAGTTTGTGCCACTTTTAACCAATATTTTTCTTTGGACTAGATATTATCTTTGTGTCACTTTGAACCACTAGAACTCTCTTTCTGTGCATACCCAGATCATCCTATGGCTGTGTTTAGTTCCACATTAAAATTGGAAGTTTGATTAAAATTGAAAGTTTGAAAAAAAAAGTTGGAAGTTTACGTGTGTAGGGAAGTTTTGATGTGATAGAAAAGTTATAAGTTTGAAGAAAAAGTTAGAAACTAAACAAGCACTATGTAAAATTGCAGCGAGCTCCCAATCGATTTCAGGCGACCGGGATCCAATCCTAACCATGCTACGGGGATATACGGTTCTTGCCGAGTGAAACTTCTCCCGAGACAGCATGCAGTGCGAAAGAGATGCGAACGCGAAAGTACGAAGCTACCCTCCCACCCACGGTACCTCCTCAGTCAGGGCATGCGGTGCCAGGCGGTACTAAACGTTCCTAGCCCTCCGATGAAGCCAGATCAACGGCCACCATATGGTACCGCACGGATTCAAGTGTCCTAGCAGTCAACCGGAAAAAGAAATAGCAACGTACTTGATTTATACAAAGACTCTCCAATACATGTCCCGTCCCCGACTTTATTATTATGTAAAAGTTGCTCAAAACCACTTTTTTTCTCTCTTACAGAGTATGCTCAAAACTCAAAAGAACTTTTGACATTTCTTTACACAAAAGTATCTAAAGCTATAGCTTAATTTTCACCTATTAATCTGTCTGCAACATTTCCTGTTGCAATTCAATACTACCATATACAAAATCCCCAACTTTCTATGGCAACATTTCCTGAAGAATTTACATGTACACAACCAGCACCATTACAAGCTCTGAACTTCTTGTTACATTAATTACCTGTAGTAACATACACAAACAGACAGGCCATGCTCAAAACTCAAAAAAAGAACTTTTCACGTTTCTTAACACAAAAGTATCTAAAGCTAGATTTTCACCTATTAATCTGTCTGCAACGTTTCCTGTTGCAATTCAACATCATACATACAAAATCCCCAACTCCCTATGTTAAAGATTTGTCCTGAAGAATTTACATGTACACAACCAGCACCCATTACAAGCTCTGAACTTCTTATTACATTAATTAATTACCTGTACTAACATACACGTACAGACAGGCCATGTTCGGATGTTCGTCGTTTCTACCGATGAATTTTCAGGCATATCCTCGAAGCAGATAAACAGAGCAGCGTACGTGGAGATTCGAAAGCTATGGCGAAATTAACCTGTGTAGATCGACCGACCGATGATTGCAAAGCTAGCTGGTGGGTATGGGCATGTCCGCCATGGCGCGGCCGATCGATCGATCAGCGGGAGGAGGCGAGCATGGCGGCGGTGCAGGAGGCGGAGGAGGACTTGAACGGCAGCGCGGCGCGGTGGCCGGCGTAGTGGCAGCCGATGAGGTAGAGCGCCAGCCTCTTCTTGACCCGCCGGAGCAGGAGCAGCTTCTCCTCCCCCCACTCCACCACCGCCACCGCCACCTGCCGCCGCCACCTCCTCCCGCCGCGCTCGTCTCCTCCTCCTCCGCCGTACTCATCGTCATCCTCCTCCCCGTCGCCGCCGGCGACGACGCCCTGCACCTGCTGCTGCTGCTGCTGCTTCTCCTTCTCCCCCGGCGCCGGCGACGCCCAGTCCCACTGGAGAGGGTAGCTCCGCAGGAACACCCTCCTGGTGCTGTAGTCCTCGTACCGGAAGCTCCTCGTCGGCTTCACCGCCGCCTCCTCCTCATCACTGGTGATCTTCCGGTGATCCGCCATTGTTGCAGCTGCTGCCTACTGGCTGAGTGCCCAAGGCGAGATGTGTGTGTACTCATGTATATATGGGCATCGATCGAAGCTAAGCTAAGCTTAGCTGCAGGTGGCCACGTCACCGCTTTTTTCATCTTTTGCCTGCCTTTCTTTGTCCTTGTTTGATTAACAATTCGGCTTTGTTTAATTTGATGGGCATGGCACGGAGATGTTTTGGATTACTTTGCAGGGGAAGCATTTGCTTTACCGGTAATCTGATGGCAACAAGGACATTAACTACTAGAGAGCAGAGGTCTTTTAATTACACACACAAGAATCTCAACTTGATGCCTAGCTTTACCCCTAAAATGAACCGTCCAGTGACTCCGGTCACATATATTTTATCTTTATCTCTTTTTTTTACATATGCACAAATATCCTTTGAAACTTCACATGCTACCATTTTTTAGTTATATTTAGGTTGCATATATACGGAAAAATAATTTACATAAATTTTATCTCAAATGAAACTCTATATATACCCACCATCTTCATCAGGCTTCCTCAACAGATAATCACTGAAATATCATTTCCCGACAGCATCTCTTAAGTCTTAAGTTAGTGTCGAAGTTGTCTTTGATCAGTAATATGAGTTGTGTGTATATGGATGAATTGTACGTCTTTCCATGAATGTAAACCAACGTTGCATTTGTCCACCATCACAATAAACGCATATTGTACAGGTTGATTTCCTATGTCAAAATATTGTCAACAATTATTGATCTAGAAAGAAAATATTGTCTACAAATTCATGATAGACGACTTATATACACCGGCACGAGAAGCGAATCTCCTTTACGACCATGCATTCCATCGGTTTCTTTTCTTCAGCTTTCTATCTAACATGCTAGCTAGACGTTAAGAGTATTGTGGCACTGCACGATCGATATCATTATCCAATATTGTCTTGTTTGTATCTTCCATTATCTCTTTCAATTCATCTTCAAGTTTAATATATATATCAGCCAAATAATTCTGTCGGTTGCATGTTGTTCACAAATGTTGGATGTTTGAAAAATTATTTTCTTGCGAGGAAAAAATTGTGTATGTTTCATAAGTTTTCTAAGATGAGTTCCATACTATGTACCCCCTTCATCTTTATCAAGTTGCGTGAAATATAGGATAAACCTGCTATTTGTCAATTCTGCATAAATATTTCAAAAAAAAACTTTTTCATTAATAGCACTAACAAAAGTTAGTGCCAAGGTTGTCTTTCGAATAAGTCATGCATATACAATGATTTGTCAACACCTTTCTGCACAATGTATATATCATCTGTCCACCATGCACAATCTTTGAATACCTAAAGACTTCATTCTAGCCCCCGATTGCTCGCTTCTCCGCTTTTCGGGCTGTCGTGGATGCTGTCGGGGCGCGGCACGTCATCCGGCGCTGGGAGCGCTGGGGCTGGCCATCTCTCCTTGCCTGCTGTGCTGTCCGTTCGATCGAGCTTGTGCGGTGTTGACGGCCTGCGGTAGCTGCCGTGCTGGGCGATCGGCGTTTGCGTTCGCTCTGCTGCGTTGCTTCTGTGCGGCTCGTCAGCTCAGCGCGCTCGTGTGCTTGGTCCATGTGTTTTGGCTCTCTGCCGTGTGGGCCGTGCGGCTGGTTCCCGTTTCTTACCTACTGTGAGCTGTGTCCATGGTTTGTTGCTGCTGCGGTGGCACCAGTGCTGCCGTTTTTTGTTCTTTGTCTGGTGGGATCGTTCCTCCATGTGTTCCTCTCTGATGCGTGGGTCCTTTGCCTTTTGTTGCTCCTGCTTTCCTGTGCGCTGTGTCTACCGGTGTTTGTGTTGCGCGTCCGTGCTCTGGGTGGTTGGAGGAGCAGGCGTGGGTGTGGTTGGCAGCTGCTCAGTTTGTCCGGTGCGTTTTGATTGGGTCGTCTGCCCTCGGTTGACTCGGCTGTTGCGCCTTCGTTTTGCACCGAGGCTGTGCTAGCCTGTGTGCACTTTCGGTGGGCCTATTGCCTATGGGCCCCACAGCCTTTGCTTCCTTGTTGGTGGGTGCATTGTTGTTCACATTCCGGATCCCTGCATCCCTTCTACACTCTTTTTCCCCTTCCTTCCAGCGATAGTGCTTCTTCCTGCTCTTCGTTTCTAGGGCTTACACCGTCGTTTTCGCTCCCTTTTGGCTGCCTGTGCTGCCGCGTTCAATTCGCCGCTGCTTGGTCTCGTTTGGTTCCATCCGCTATGGCAGGGTAAGGCGCTGGCTTGCAGCGGGTTCCTCTCCGCGGTCGCTCCGCTTTTCTGCGGCTGTGTCGGCTTTCTGTTTTTGTTATCCCTTATTGGCTGATTGTTCGGTGGTGTCTGTTGTGTTCATTCGTAGGGGCCGGGATTTGCACGGCGTGGATCGCTGCTTCCATGGTTCTTGAACCTGTTCATCAGCACAGCAAAGGTCTTCCGCGGCGGCAGCTCGCGGTAGGTTTTCCCTCTCGTGCTTTGGGTCCGCATGGCAGGCCCCTATGTATCCCCTGCCTATGTTTTGTGCTTCATATGTCCTGATTACATTGCTTTGTTTGTTTCAGTGCGGACCCCCCTATCTTTCCTTCGCTTTCTGGATCGACTCGTTCGTGTCTTCTCTGTCTCGTCCTCCTCTCGTACTTGCTTCGTCCTTGTTGTCCCACGGCGTTCGCGGGCCTCTTCGTCCGAGGTTATTTCTCGCTTCCTTCCTTTCCATCTCTGTCTGTGTTAGCGGATCCGTGCATTGTTCGCCATGTTTTTAGTGGTTGTTGTGCTTTTGTGCTTCTGCTGTGTGCGTTAGATCAAGCGTATCTGTTTGCAGTCTTCGTGTTTAATGCCGTGCGCTCACGCGTTCGGTTCCCCGGCTCGTGTTTATGTGTCACTCATATGGTGGGCTGCTGTGGAGCTAACGGTCGGCGCGTTTCGCTTTGTAGCCGTTGCGTACGGTGGTCAGTGCGCGTCTGCTTTCCAGCTTCCTCTCCTGCTGTTCCCCCCCCAGCTGCCTATAAAGATTTTAGCTTCCCTTTCTCTTCTCTTCACGGCTTTCCCCATAGCGTCTGCTTCCTCTTTCTTCATCTCGTTCTTTCTTGTTTTAAACTACTATATTATATACAGTGCCTATATTATATATATATACTGCTTACCCCTTCTCTCCATTCTGTAACTTCTGCAGGCGCTATGTTTACTGTGAACACGTCGCACATCCTGCTTTTGAATGTAGCCACGGAACGCTGCATGCTTCCACCGCCCTATTATCTATGGGAGTTTGACTCCGGCGATAGGTTGTTGGCTGGAATTGAGCTTGTCTTCCCAGCATATGCAGCCCCAGCTTAGTTAGACACCGTTTTTTTCTGGTCTGTAGCCTGTGACCCTCTCCAGAGCGTGCACGAGCCTGCAGCCATGGAGGCTGTCAGGTACCTACAGCGGTGATATGGTTTTCTTGTGCGCGACTATAATTTCCAATCTATGTTAGCATATAGAACGATAGCAAAGTGTGCTGTTGAGACTGCGTTGTTGGCTTGTGGGTGTATCACGCGATATAGATCGTGCTGCTCACACACGCCTCCACGTTGTGATGATATCATTCAGTCGTGTGCTTCGCTGTGGTTTAATCTTTATATTGAGGATGGTGATCACTCTGCTCATGTGTAGAGCACCCCTGATGTATGCCACTCGGAGATGTTGTGTTTTCTGTATGCTACTCTTTGTTTTATATGCTGTTATTTATTGAGGTGTTGTACCTGTCGTGAGCTATGTCTTCCTGCCCTCTTTTCTTCGAGTGCATTCTGCTTCGTTCTCCTCTATCCTTTTCACCACGGTAGCGTGCCTGCTGCTGCTTCTGTTGTCATGCAATCACACGGTTTCTTCGTTGCTCCCTGTTTGCTCCAATTGTTTGGTTATGCTCTGCAGATGTCGCAACAGAGTATAGATAGGGTCCGAAGGGTACGTGCAAGCCGTGAAAGGCGAGCCACCAATGTCTTGCTGCGGCCCTTTGCAATGGACATACAGAGCACGGTGGGAACATCGTCTGAACCTTTGCGGGTAGATCGGAGTAAGAGGCCGCGTTCCCTTATGGATTTTTCAGCTGGCTTATCCAAGCTGCATAGACAGCACCGTTGTTTACTGCGGTCAAAGCTGCCTCCTTTGCCGCCACCACACGCTCCTTCTGGTATGGTAGAAAGTTATTTTCATAGACATGTTATCCTTCTGTTATACCCACGCCGATTAAGACATGGTTATGATCTGCCTGTATTGCAGCTTCTGCTAGCAGGCCAAGCACTGCCTCATCAGCAACAGATAGGGAATACATCCAGTCGCTCAAGGGTTCGTATCCTGCGATAGGAAAAACAACCTATGCTTTGTTTAATGAAAAAAACATGTCTGTCTCACAATGGTAAAATGTGTGTCTTACAGCGTCCTACCCAGGCCGGTCATACTATGGTCCTCCAACGCATGAGTGTCCATATTGTGGTGCTGTCTTTTGGTTCCAGGAGAGGGTTAAGTCACTCTCTGCTGTCTCAAAGAGGAAAATTGTCTATAATCTATGTTGCAAGAGCGGCAAAATACAAGTGCCTCGTTTTGAGCAGCCCCCAGAGCCTCTTGCGGCTCTGATAAAATCTGATGGTGATGCTCGATCGAAGAGATTTTTAAGACAGATTGGATCATACAATTCATCCTTTGCTTTTACTTCGATGGGCGCAACCATCGACAGATCAATTAACACTGGGAATGCACCTTATGTTTTCAAAATCAACGGTGTTGTGCACCACAAGATTGGCACTCTTTTGCCATCGCATGGTGCGACATCAAAATTTGCACAGCTTTACATCTATGATCTTGCTAACGAGGTCCAAAATCGGTTAAACATTTTCGAGAATGAACGCGATAGCAACGATAGGCCTGACCCTAAAATAATCGCAGCCTTATCGGCCATGCTTGACACGCACAACAAACTTGTTCAGAATTTTAGGTATGCCAGGTCACGACTTGCTGAACATGGCGATGAGAAGATAACTTTGTGTTTGCTAGGCTGCAATGCTAAGGATGATGTTCAGTATAATCTTCCAACAAGCGGTGAAATAGCTGCCATAATAGTTGGTGACTTTGATGCGAAGGAGTGCAAGTTTGATGTGCTTGTTCATGATAGAGATCATGGGATGCGTCATGTCTCATCGCTACATCCATCGTATTTAGCTTTGCAATACCCTTTGCTTTTTCCGTATGGCGAACGTGGCTTTCATCTAGGCATTAAATACGCTGATTATGATGGGGTTGGTAGGAAATACATTACGATGCAAGAGTTCCATAGATATCTGATTCATTACAGGCTAAATGAATCTAATCCTTTCACGTGCTATGGCCGGCTTAGTGACCAGGCCATTGTTGATGTTTTCTCAAGCATTGAAGCTAATAGGATATAGTTTATAATCGATCATCAAACCGAATTGCGTGCTGAGTCCGTTGAAGGGATTGTAGATGCGATTGATAGAGGGGTTACGAGCGGAGATTCAGTTGGTAAACACCAGGTACTCCCAGCTAGCTTTACTGGAGGCAGGAGGTATATGGTTATGAATTACCAAGACGCAATGGCAATCTGCCGTCTGTATGGCTCGATTGACCTGTTCGTGACATTTACGTGCAATTCTAAATGGCAAGAGATTGCTGAAACTATCCGCTTCGAGCCTGGTCAGCAACCATCTGACAGACCAGATGTGATTGTTCGAGTCTTTAACATGAAGGTGAACGATTTCATCACTGATATTAGAGAGGGGAGAACGTTTGGTAAAGTGCTTGCAGGTACTAGCTCCCCTTTCCTGTACGTTGTTTTCCCTGCCGCCAATTTTTCTGCTCATGCTCTTTTCCTTACCTCTTATTAGTTCTCTACACCGTCGAGTTCCAAAAGCGTGGTCTCCCGCATATACATTGCTTAGTTTGGCTTGCTGTGCCCACCGCAGATATTTCAGCATCTGTCATAGATAGCTTCATCTGTGCTGAGATACCCGACTTCGACACTGATCGCCTAGGGTATGAGCTGGTCAGTGAGTTTATGATGCATGGTTCTTGTGGCGAGGCAAACAAAGCATGCCCTTGCATGAAAAATGATAGGTGTTCGAAACACTACCCTAAAGATTTCTAGGCTGAGACTGTTATTGATGAGTCTGGATTCACGATATATAGAAGGCGAAATGATGGTCGATATATAACTAAAAATGGCATCCGTTTGGACAATAGGTCGGTTGTACCCTACAATCTCAACTTGCTCAAAACATATGAGGCACATATCAACGTTGAGTGGTGTAACAAATCGAATATGATTAAATATTTATTCAAGTACATTACAAAGGGACATGACCGTGCAAAGATATACTTTGAGACTACTTCCAAAATAGGGAACATATCACCAAACCATGACCTAGCTCCTCCTGATGAAATATTAGAATATATGGATGCTAGATTTCTTTCTACCTGCGAAGCACTTCATCGCATATTTGAATTTGACATACATTATAGAATCCCACCAGTTGAGCGTCTAACAGTGCACTTACCTGGCAAAAACTATGTTAGGTATGAGAAGGGTTCTGACTTGAGAGCGGTGCTTAACAGCCCCGGTGCAAAGCGATCGATGCTAACTGAGTGGTTCGAAGCTAATAGAAAATATACTAAAGCACGCTCATTGACATACTGTGATTTTCCAAAAGAGTGGTCATGGGAACCATAATCTAGAACATGGCGAGAACGTATACCAGCTGCGAAAATAGGCAGGATCTATTACGTGTGGTGAGTTTTATTATCTCAGGATGTTATTGATGATAGTTAAAGGAGCACAGAGCTACGCTGACATGCGCACCCATAATGGCATTGTTTACAGCACTTTTAGAGAGGCATGCGAAGCGAGAGGGCTGCTTGAAGGAGACAATGAATGGTATCTTCTTTTTGATGAGGCTATAGAATCTGCATCATCGAAACAGCTTATGCAGTTGTTTGTCACTGTTATCCTCTATTGTTCTGTTGGTGATGTTCGATCCTTGTTTGATAAGTATTGGCTTCACATGGCAGACGACATCCACCATAGGTTAAAGAAAGCGTTAGACAATCCGCGGTGCATCATCCCACACGAACACTTGCTTAGCATCCTTCTCCATGAGCTTACAGCTATCTTTGCGAATAGCGGTGGAAATATAAGAGATTTTAATCTCCCAGTCCCAACATCTGCCTCACATATGCCTGCTGGTAATAGATTAATTGATGAGGAGTATGCACCCGATCCACTCATGATGTCTATGCACACAGATTCTTTGATTTCACAGCTTAATGCTGACCAGAAAAAAACCTTTGACACTATAGTCTCCTCAGTTTCATCGAAGCAACCTGGTTTTTTCTTTGTGAGCAGGCATGGGGAAACTGGGAAACATTCCTGTGGAATGCTATGATTGGAAAGCTTAGATCACAGAATAACATTGTTCTTGCTGTCGCTTCATCAGGAGTAGCGTCTCTGCTGCTACCTAGAGGAAGGACAGCTCACTCCCGATTTAAGATACCAATCGATATTGATGAAACCAGCCTTTGCAATATAAGACGAGGCACTATGCTTGCTGATCTTCTTATTGAAACTGCGCTGATTATATGGGATGAGGCCCCAATGACGCATAGGCGCTGTTTCGAAGCGCTCGATCGAACGCTGCGTGACATCCTTTCTGAAACTAACCCTGCAAATTCGATTATATCTTTTGGGGGTAAACCTGTTGTTTTAGGTGGTGACTTCCGACAAATATTGCCTGTTGTTCCAAAAGGCTCACGTCTAGCTGTTATGAACGCATCGGTTACAAACTCAGATCTATGGAAACATGTCACAGTGCTAACTCTAAATATTAACATGAGATTGCTAAGGCCAGCGTTGGCACAGAACGAGAGGGACGAATTACATGAATTTAGTCAGTGGGTGTTGGCTGTTGGTGATGGCACACTGCCCATGATCGCAAAAGAAGGCGAGGTGGAACCTTCATGGATTACAATCCCTGACGATCTTCTCGTTGTAACAGACGGTGACAAGATTGCTGCTATTGTCGATGAGGTGTATCCCAGCTTCATTACATTGTATAAAGACCCTGCGTATCTAGCTTCTCGTGCAATTGTTTTGCCCTACGAATACGATAGTTGATGAAATAAACGATTATGTTGTTGCGTTGCTTCCAGGAGCTCCAAGAATATACTTAAGCTGTGATACAATATCAAAATGCTCAGAGCAAATCCCAGATTTTGACCTATTATACCCCCCCTGAATTTCTTAACTCTATTAATGTTACTAACTTCCCTACTCATAACCTTGTGTTGAAAGAGGGTGTTGTGGTTATGCTGCTACGAAACTTGAATCAATCAGTGGGTCTTTGCAATGGGACAAGGTTGTTGCTGGTTTAGGCGAAAGGATTTTGAAGTGGATCATACTCACAGGATCAAACATAGGCGAAACCGCTTATATACCAAGAATCACACTGAGCACATCGAAAGTAAAATGGCCTTTCACGCTTCAGAGAAGGCAATTTCCAGTCCGCGTATGTTATGCCATGACTATCAATAAAAGCCAAGGGCAAACACTTGACCAAGTTGGCGTATACCTTACAAAGCCTGTTTTCATGCACGGCCAGCTCTATGTTGCCTTTTCAAGAGCAACAAGCCGATCAGGTTTAAGAGTGCTTATCCAGAATGATGATGGCTCATGTGGAAACCAAACAAGAAACGTAGTTTACACTGAGATACTATCCGCTGCGCTACAGGCGGTGATGTCCTCGTTGCTCTTTCACACATGTTCTTTCTCTCTTAACAGCATGACAGCCAGCATTATTTTTCCTTTACAGGCTGCGCCGCCTGGCGCTTAGCGCGGCTTTCATGAACAAGACATGGCCGCTCTTGTACATAAATTTTGCCATAAATATGTTCCATCTGTATGTTTGTACTATATACTCCTGGTGCGTCATGTGCTTGCTAAACCTGTCTGCTATTTTTGTTGTTGTTCCCCTTGTTGCAACGACCCTTGCATGTTTACATGTGCCTCATACTTTTCATGTTTGCTGCAGGCTCACTATAGCGTATATCCTTATTTCTCAGCTTCTGTATGGAGACATCAGCAAGCAGATCAAGACACGGCTCTCTAGGCTATGGGATTTCCACGATATCAATGATGAAGAAAAAATATATCACACTGAACTTGTCTTGCTGGATGAAACGGTAATCATTGACCGCACAACCATTCTCCCTCTTCCTCGTCTCCCACACACACATTCTCCCTCTTCCTCGTCTCCCACACACACTCCATTCATTCTCCAGTGCATACTTTAAATAGCACTGACATGCCGCTGTATATTGTAGGGCGCCAGTATACATGTGCAAATCTATCCATCCCTAAGAAATAAGTTCAAGGATCTCTTACAGCAAGGGAAGGTCTACTACATCGACTCTTTCTCTGTCAGATATGCCAATAGAACATATAGGCCTGTTGCGAATCCTTTGATGATTTCATTTACTAAATGGACTACCTTGGAAGAATGCATTGAGATCCCTGACAATTTCCCTAGCATCACGTTTTCGCTGACACCGTTCCAAGATGTTCCATCTCTTGTGGAAAAGAATCATTTCTATGTTGGTGCGTCTCCTTTCGATCACATTTGTCATCTATGTTTGTTTCCAGTTGCGGCCCTATATTTATCAAACTAATTTTCAATGTGGGCAGATGTTATGGGTATCATAACTGAGGTTGGTGCAACAGCCACCATCCGCCCTAAATCAAGCAACACCGACAACCTGAAAAGAACCATGCAAATTTCAGATGCAAGGTAAGTAATAGCACCTATTTTTCTTCTTTCATTATGCACTATGTTTGGCTCACGACACGTGCACTAACCACCCTAACAAGCTACTAATATCCAACACCAAATAAACCATGCACAATTTACAAAAAACAGCGGCTGCACACTGCCTGTCACACTCTGGGGGAAAACAACAACTGCCTTTGAAGTACAGGCGATATTCAATGTTGGACAGATTGAGCCTCAAGTTGTTGTCTTTGTTGGAACACTTGTACGAAACTACAAAGGGATAGGTATACATGTACCAGCCTATCAAATTATTCCTGCACACATTGTATGAGCTTCTATCTAACACTGGTCTAATCCAATGCAGGCCTGACTTTGACTGGAAGCTCACCGTGCAAATGGTATGTCAACCTTGATATGCCCGAAGTTGCTGCCCTGAAACAGAGGTAATGCAATCCACACCGCTGCTTTTCCTCATGCCTCTAAAAGCATGCATTAGTGCTCCTATCATACACCACAACACATTGTTTTTAAGTATGCTTCTTCCGTGTAGCTTTACAGCAAAGTTTTAGCCCATCAAGTGGGTTGACGATGGTGGCGCAGCTTTCGGGCAAGATATTCCACAGAAAAAACTATACTGCAGATCCTTAGTCTCAATCCACACAAGCATAAGGCTTGTTCCGCTATATTTGCCTGCTGATCTCTTTTTCTTTGCCATCTGACATTAGCGATCAAACCGCATGTGGTTGCAGCGGGACCGTTTTGTCGTCAATATCACCATAACCAGCATAGCACAGCACACTTCGTGGTGTTACAACTCCTGCAAACTTTGCTCAAGAACCTCTAGGCCATTTGATTTCACCTACAGATACACCCATTGTTCCTACATAGGCATCGCAGTACCAAGGTAAAAAAAATAACCTCTATGTTCTTCGCACCTCCTATGTTGTCAGTTACACACCACATTATACCAGTTTTGCTTCTCCATGTAGGTACAAGGTTGTTCTAACCGCTGCTGACAGCACTGGCGAGGCTACATTTATTCTCTTTGGAAAAACAGCGCAGCGTATCATACGCAAACCAGCTGAGACACTCATTGAGCAAAATCCACCTGACAGGGAATATATCCAGATGAAATTACAGCTCTTATCAACCAGACCTTTGTTTGGAATGTTAGCTTCACAGAGGATACCCTCATGAAAAACCAGGAAACATTACAGGTCAATAGCATCATTTCATCTAGCGGTACAGCACAACCCCTATTGTCTTCCTCATCAGATACAGCAGTGCAGCCATTGGCTATTATGCCATCGGCCTCAGTGAGTTGTCTTCAGTCAGCACCAGCAGCAAGTGAAACCAGCATTGAGTCAAGGATGGACACAGCTACAGGAAAAAGCACATCTGCAGAGCAGGCTCCGATGACGCCAACAACATACCCCATAAAGCCCCCATCGGATTAGACACCAACTAGTGCATACAGCGCGCAATCAACAAGCAAAAAGAGCTATGTTCTACCCATATCTACACCCATTCAGGTTTCATGTGACCCCAATGTTTTTCTCACTTCATTACTGCTCGTGCCCTACATAGTTTCCCTTATTAGAACGTATGTCGGCTAACATTTCTGTTCTTTGTGTCAGGCAAAACCTGTGCCAGATGTTACAGGGGTAGCTGCACAGCCTCCACCATCTGTCAACCTGTCCACCAAAAAAATCACCGAAAAAAGGTTTGTTCTCCTACCTTTCCTACCTTACGCTAATCTTTCTGCTCGAACCACCATAACCATCGTCTCTGCCAAATAGGGCCATGCCTACAGCCTCGGCCCCACCTGCTAAGAAATTGTTCAAGGATGATAGCCCCAGCAAGGGCGACAACAAGGTAATTACTTGGGTAGTCATCTCGCTTCCCCACAGATAAGTATACATGCTTCGCTCAATGCAGCTGACATACCCTTTCCTCTGTTCTTTTTGCAGTGAATCAAAGAAAAAGTATGCTGCTACTTTTGTTTCCCCCTACAATATCGTTTGCACCAGCGGATGTACTCCTCTGCTAGCCAGGCCTTTTGTTCAAGACCTCTTCCTTATCAATTTGCATAAGTAGTCTTTGTTTCCTGCAGTCGTTTTTCTGTTCGTCTATATCTATCTTTGGACCTTGAAAATCCACTGTTACTCCAGAACATGGCACTCTTGTGTAATATGCAATGTTCCCCTACCACTCACACCTATGCTATATGATGTGTTTACATGTTGGGATCATCAGCAGGTCATCTTGCGCCACATGTTGCGCTTAATTTCTCTCTCGGATTGGTATGATAGCCGTAGAGCCATCTTCCTTAGCTCTGTTTCTGCAGCCTATGACAACTGCCGCATCCATTATGCAGCAGCGCACGCTACGCTCGTCGTCTCCGCCATTCTCAGCGCTGCTGCAATAGCTGCTACATTGTCCCCCATTTCACGCTATAGCTATGTTGGTTCTCCCAGCGTCAACAGAGAGGTTACCACCAGCCATAACAACAATCTAGCTCATCAACGCTCTCAGCCAAAGATAACTAGCTGGCAATACCCACATAATATTCAGATGTGTTTTCTAGCTGTCTAGCGCATCCATGCACATAATACAACCCAGTCCAAGAACCTACTACATGGTTCCTACAGCGTACAGGTCACCATTCAACGCAGAGCTAACACACTAGGAGCATACACCATACGATATAATCCCTACAGTTTACTAACACATTCATCCCTGCTCATTTCATACGTTTACACCTTCTTGCCACCAGCATGCTTCCCCTCTTCAACGACCGCTGTATTTCAGGCTCCAATCAGAATCAACGCTCATGCCTAAAGAGCTTCCTGCTGAGCTGCTGCTTTCATCACCATCTTATACATGCATAGACAATAGATGGTATGGCGGTCAGAATTTTTCTGTGTTCATGTATTGATCGACTAACCAAAGAAAATAACCAATACTACCTGCGATACGTTGAAGCCTAGCTTGCATTTCAAATGCTTCCCTTACCACATCTGGATCCTCATACATCTCAGGATCTGGTTCTGCAGCATTCATCCATAAGTTTTAGAAACACAAGAAAACACAAATGAGCCTCACCTAGCCACACACTAGCTTTCCGGCATAACATTGATCTTACCTTCAGCACCAATATCACCCTCTGCCTCTGTGTACAAGCGAGCCTCCAGGTTTACCAGAAACGATTTCATGCAAACTACATCGACTGTTTCATACTTTAGTTTCAGATATATAGACCTTGGGATTGATTCAACGCTTTTTGCAAAACCACAAACATAATGTTCATTTTTCGCCGCGTCAAACCTATAGGCCTGTGGATCGCAGAAAGATGACACCAAAGTCTCCATCTTTGATGGATGGTTTGCATGTTCAGAAACATTCTTCACTTTGATTTCAACTTTTGTCGTCCATTTTTCGGTGCTCACACCGTACGCATCTCTCCACACCCTGTCTGCTGCCACAACCGGCCCACTTTCCATCCTGTTAATGCCATCGTTTCATGCCAACACAGCATCAGAAAAAGAAATATTAACAGACAACCAACATTCACCAACTAACCTAGAGAACCACCTTTCCCCTTCCTATCTCAGCTCCAATGCCCACCCCCCGCGCATACTAAGCATGAAACATACAGCTAAAATATCCAATGCATCAATGCAAAACCAAAACGCAACACAGATCTCACTACAGAGCCATAATAGTCTACGCCTACATTCGTGCCACACTTTTACCCCACCAACCAACATACACCCAGATCCAAATATGTTCCTAGATATCTGCTCACATTTTCTTCGCACCAAAGCAATCTATACCACACTGCACATACATATGAAACAAAAATGCACTACCCTAACAAAACAGGCGATTTTAACCAAACAAACCTTCAGATTCACAAGCGATCCAGGAAACCCTGCCCTCCTCCACTGTTCCCACCCACTAGCACAACCTCTTTCTTTCCTTCCTTCTTCCAACCTGCGCTTCCCCACTTCTAGATCACACCGCTACACAAGAGCGCCTTTCCCCTCTTATAACCTAGGTCAACGCTGCCGTCCTCCTGTCGAACACCCTCTGCCCAAATACCCCCCCTCCTATCTCCCAAAATATCCTCTGACATTACATAGCTAAAAAAAAAGTCCCATATATCTCCGTTCCTGCTACATGCTATGGCCCACAAAGCCCATGCCTATCTTCTTTCTTATTTTCTACACACTTTTCCTCCCAGCTTTCCACGGGTGCTGCGCGCGAAGTGCGCTTCCTCCTCTAGTATTAATTAATTGCAAGTAGTCATAGAAGTCCCCACATTAATCCTAAAAATTAAAAAAATAGAAATTCTCATGCTAATATTTCAAATCTCTAGTTGAAATCTTCCACATTGAATTTGTCTATTTAGTAAATTAAGAACTAATAAGAGTGAAGTGAATAAGAGTGAAGTGCACCAGCGGTCCCTAAACTTGTGCGGGTGTGTCATCTAGGTCCCTAAACTCTCAAAATGCATTTTTGGGTCCCCGAACTTGTCTTACGTATCATATAGGTCCCTAAACGCAGGCATGGCTGTAGATTGCCACGCTCCTGCACCTTGCCACGTGAATAGGGCAATGCACTGCATGCATCTATCCACACGTGCTACCGAGCGGAGGCCAGCGAGTAGCTGCGGCGGTCTGGCCGCCGTGTCACGTGAAGGGGTTTGTCGTGTCGCGCCTGGGCGGGGAGGCGACATAGCCGCGCGCGGCCAGCGGAGTCGCACGTGGCGGCGGCGGCGGCGGCGGCGAGCCGCGCGAGGTCGCAACGTCGACAGCATAGGAGTTGGGCGTGGCCGCGGAGGTGACGGAGCCGTGGCTCAACGCCGAGACGGACAACCACGATGGCCGGAGCCCCTCGGCGTTGGCAGAGTCGCGCGTGGCCGCGGAGGCGACGGAGCCGCTTGCCGACGCGGAGGTGACGCCGTGGCCCGCGCGGAGGTGGTCCCTCCACGGCGCTTGCGGCGAGCCGGAGCTCAAGCTAAGGCGAAACGGCGTTGGCCATCGCGAGAGGCGAGAGTGGAGGTCGTGGAGCGGCATGCGGGTTACTCGGCTGAAGCCAGCGGAGTGCTAGGCGGAGCTAGCCGCCATACGCGTAGCATGCGCCCATGCATGCTACATATGCACACAGCATGGGAATCCAATGCATGCCGCCCGTGCATGCAACCATAACTATGTGGGCTAATTGAACAGAAGCCGCGACGTCGCTTGCGGCGCGGAGGGTGCCGAGGAAGCGGCCTCGGGCGAGGCGAGTGCGGCATCGCTTGCGGCGCGGAGGCGGAGGCGGCAGAGCTCGACGCGGAGAGCCGGCTGAGGCTGCCCGGCCGGGCCGAGGCGGGTGCGGCTTCGCCCGCGGCGAGGAGGCCAGTGTGGCGGAGCCGGCGGAGCCTACGCATGTAGGCCGCCACGCGCATGCCGGTGAGCGGAGGCGGTGGAGTTCGACGCGGAGGTAGAGAGGAGAAAATATGGTTTTTAATTTTATTTTTATACATATGACTGACATGTGGGGTCCTCACCGACACGTAGGCGTCACTGTGGCATGCCACGTCATCGGATGGACCTATATGACACACAAGACAAGTTCGGGGACCCAAAAATGCATTTTGAGAGTTCAGGGACCTAGATGACACACCCGCACAAGTTTAGGGACCGTTGGTGCACTTCACTCAACTAATAAATACAACATAGTTATACTCAGTTCGACTCCTCAATTATAGGTTTTCTAATGGTCAGTGTCAAGAATAAGGTATACCTCCTATACATGAATTCATGGAACACGCTAATACCATATACCGATTGTATACAAGAAGGTATTCTTTACTTAAGAAAATACAGTAAATAAATAAAGAAATCATCTTCCCGGAATAGAAGGTGTTAGATTCCTATTTAGGAAAGATAAGGTCTCCTTGGGGTTGTACCTTGTTTTATATCTTTAAGTTCTACTTGGAAAGGAAGATAATATATGTTATAAATACGGCCCCCTAGTTCAGGTAGGGGTATCGAGTTACAAGCCGTAGCCAGAATCGCAAGGAGAAGCAATCTGGAGGGAGCTAGAGCCATATTCGTCGAATAAATCTTGTCAGGCCATTCTCGACAACTTCTAGTCGGTGGGTTAGTTCAATCTTCTTGTTTTCTATTGTACTCCTTTTGCTATTTCCATCCATTATTAGTATAAAAAATGATTTTTCATGGCGTCGCCCTATAATTTTTGCTGGCGGTCATATGCAAAAAAAACGCCACTAAAAATGTAACGAAGGGTGAGGGGTTACGGACCGCTAGCGAAAATCAGTTTTCGCTGGCGGCCACGCTAAGAGGCCCGCCAAAAAAAAGCTCTATTTTCGCTGGCGGTGGTTCTAAGAGGTCCGCCATAAAAAATCGGGTTTTCATTGGCATCCGATTTTCCCTGGCGGTAACAACACCGTCAGCGAAATAAAATTTGATGCTATAAAAGCACCGCCCCCGCACCAGCGAAAACCCTGTTCTCTCCGCTTCGTCCTTATCCTATCTCCTCCTCCTCCCTCCACTCCCTTTCTCCCTCCAAACCCTCTCTCCCTCCAAATCCACAGGCGCGGGCGACAGAGCAGTGCGCTCGCGAAGGCGGCAACGAGCTCGGGCATGGGCGGGGAGGGCGGATCCGCCGCCGCCAGACCACGGGGAGGCCGGCACTGAGCTTGACACTGTCGACTGTGCTACCCGGCTCCCTCCTCTCCGACCGTGCTGCTAGATGTGAATTTTTTTTTGTGCATGTTATTCTAGATGATGCACATGTTTCGATCTGTGTAAATGATGTTTGGTCTGTGGACATATTTTATTTTCAAATTTCCTCTTCACACCTGTGGGCATATTCATTTTTGCTTTTCAAATTTCCTCTTCGCTAACGGCTAGGGCAGCTGCATGGGTTTGATTTTCGCTGGCGGTCGATTTAACACAGCCGCCAGCGAAAATGAATTATCCCAAGATCTTGATCTTCGTTGGCCTTTGCTTTGTAGTGGCTCCAAATTCCGCCAGCGAAAACCTAAAACGGCCGCCACGAAAGATGGTTTTCTTAGTAGTGAATCTATATAAACTGGATTAGGGTTATTACTCATCTTGAGAGTCCGAACTAGTATAAATCTTTGTCTCTTGACTGCTTGATATAGTCTCGCGTATACCTGGTTCCAACGTTACACATACTCTACAAATACTATGGTCGGAGTATCCACCCTTGACAC